TAATTATAGGGAAAAAAAAAGAAATAAAATAGCAAATGGAAAACCTGAAAAAAAAAAAAAAAGAAAAAAGAAACCCACAGGCCTTTCTTCTCTATCCTGCAGCTTTGCCTTGAGTCAGAATAAACTGCAATGGTTTACGAGACAGTCACTTCTGGAAGGCGCGTTGGTAGCATAACATTTGTTAACACTAAAGCTAACAGTACAAATCCACCATGCGAGCGGAGGGGGGCTCTTCCGGTAAAGATTCACAGCCTCAAAAACCTGATGGAGAGTCCCACTCGATGACAGAGGGTGTGGGTTTGGGATCTGAAAGCAGTGTGGTTGATGCCCACCCAAGAGCATGGTGTTTGCTGCTCCAGAAATCCTTTCCTGAGATGAATTTTGCAGCAAGTTCCTGAAAGGTGAGAAGATTCAGCTGGTTGATTTTCCACTGCAGTGGTGTCCCAGGCCCCCAGCAGGAACCGCTTCTGGCTCCTTCACCTTGAATATCAGCAGCTTGCAACATTCCTGGGAGGTAGCAAAGCTCCAAACATGATTGGGTTTTGTCTGTTTTGTTTGTTCATGCCTTAAATTTTTCAATCATGATTGGTTTGGAAAACAGGGAAGGACCCATCATCTTCCATCTCCATCTTGATTCTTCTTACTTTTTTCCATTAGGGATGCAGGACTGAGGTGAGAGGCAGACATGCAGGCTGACAGAGGGAGGGTTTCCATCCCTCCAGCTTCATGGACCATTTCTACCATCGTGGACAGAGTATTTTAATGCTCTAAATTTCATTTGCCTCGTACTTAAGAATACTGGGGATACCCTGAGGCAGAAGCAGCTCTGATCAAAAAGCACACAGCAAATATTCACCAGTATCTACACAACTCATAGCCAACCTTCACCAGGTATCAGACTATAAACCTCATGGGAGGAGACTGCCCATCTGTCTTCCTCGGAGCAGGTGGGGGATTTGAACCGACAGAGAGACGTAGCCTTTGGGTTAGCAGCTCAACTACACCACTAGAGTGCCTCCAAGTAACTTCCTACACCACATACGAAGGGCTACTGGGGGGCTGGCTGAAAGCACTGCTTCTGTCGTGGGGCTACAAGTCCCTGGGAATGAGGAAGCCACCATAGCAATTAAAAGAAGGATTCCAGCTGTTCACAAGGCAAGTTAAGCCTCTCACCAAATCTCTAGGTGCACAACTCCATAACCTTCTGCTGCTGGGCTGCTTCTAATGCATGTTGCCGTGTGCCATCAAGTCGGAACCAACTCATAGCTGAACTTCCAGTGCGTTTTGAGAGGTTACATATCACACAGGAGACAGCTCATCTTTCTCCTCTGGAGCAGCCAGTGGACTTGAACCACGTGCCTTAAAGTCTGACTGACAGAGACCCTAAAGAGCAGAAGAACTGCCTTGTGGGGTTTCTAAGGGTATAAATCTTTATGGAAGCAAACTGCTTCATCTTCCCCCTACAGTCCCCAACTGCGACACCAGGGCTCCTGGTATCCCACTGAATAGCAACTGTTGTTGTTGTTGTTATGTGCCATCGAGTCGTTTCCGACTCATAGCGACCCTATGCACAACAGCCCTAAACCCTGCTCTATCCTGCGCCAACCGCACCGCCTCTGACACACCCATCCCGATTACCCCAGTCACTGAATCAATCCATCTCATAGAGGGTCTTCCCCTCCTGCGCTGTCCCTCAACCCTCCCAAGCATGATGTCCCTCTCCAAGGACCCGTCCCTCCTGGCAACATGTCCAAAGTATGTCAGACGAAGCCCCAGAATCCTTGCCTCCAAGGAGTAGCTTGGTTTAATCCTCTCCAAGATAAATCTGTTTGTTTTCCTGGCAGTCCAGGGTACATTCAGTACCCTTCTCCAGCACCACAGCTCAAAAGCATCCACTCTCCTTCTGTCCTCCCTAGTCATTGTCCAACTCTTGATGCATAACAAGTGATTGCAAATACCATGGCCTGTATCAGGCGCACCTTAGTCTCCAGAGAGACACTGTTGCTCCTGAGTACCTTTGAGAGGTCCCTAACAGCAGACTTTCCCATCGCGATACGCTTTTTGATTTCCTGACTGCTGGTGCCAAGAATGTTGACTGTGGAGCCGAGCAAACTGAAGCTGTGAACACTCTCAATCTCTTCGTCATCCATCCTGATGCTGCCAATTGGTCCAGTGGCGAGAATCTTTGTCTTCTTGACATTGAGCCTCAGTCCATACTCAAGGCTGCAGTCCTTGACCCTTCGCAGCAAGTGCATGAGGTCCTCCTCAGTTTCAGCAAGCAGGGTTGTATCATCTGCATAACGGAGATTGTTAATAGATCTTCCACCAATCCTGATGCCACAATTCTCCTCATAGAGCCCAG